ACCAACTGTGTCATTAAAAATACTGTCACACTGATGATACTTTAGATTATTGACATAACATTAACCAAATTCTTTGAACAACGTGGAAGGAAAGAATTATGGAAGATAGTTAAAAAATGGAACTTCTCAGACCTAATGAATTTATGACACTATTTGTTTGTTCTATGTTCTAATATACCACCTCCTACTTTGTTGTATTACAGTGTTTTTATCTATCCCTCTTGGCTACAAAATCTTAGAGCAGAGACTTGTTACATAATTAGAATTGCTTTACTGTATTATGTCACAGTGAGAGAGAGAGAATGGAGTAAAGAGTTTTAACAACAACCGTAACAGCAGTTTTCATAGATTAAGGCTCTCCCTCTTCCACACTTTTTTTCCCCATTTTATGTTAACTGTTGTTCATTTTTTCATGCCAGCACTGTTGTTTATTTGGTCAGCAGTGCTGTTCAGCGGTTTTGTGGCTGGCAAGCTTCCCCGTGAGACTATGCTTTCACCTCTGCTATGTAGTCAGTCTTGGCAGGCCTCATAGCCGGGATTCAATCTTGTGCCAGCCCTTAGATTTCCCAATTATTAACACTATCACTAGGCAATTTGAAGAGCCAGACCTTTCTTGAAATGATAGTAAGAAAGAAAGAAAGAGAAAGAAGGAGAAGGAGAAGGAGAAGGAGAAGGAGAAGGAGAAGGAGAAGGAGAAGGAGAAGGAGAAGGAGAAGGAGAAGAGAGAAGGGGAGAAGGAAAGAGGTGAGAAAGAAAAAAGAAAAGAAAGCAAGAAAGAAATAAAAAATACAAAGGAGGGAAGAAAGAAAGGAAGGAGAGAGGGAGGGAAGGAGGGAGAGAGGGAGAGAGGAAGGGAGGAGGGAAAGCAAACAAGTTATATAACTTGGACAACATATTCTTATGGAACAAGAAGAAAAATAATTTTTATACATAGGAAGCAAACAGTTTCCCTTAAATTATTTACAAGAGTTGTATCCATATTAAAATTCTAAAAAAAACAATTTTATATACTTTTAATCCTTTAATTCCTTGCAGCCATTAATACTTGAAAATCTTTGAGCTGCAGGAGTTTTAAATCCTTTATTTAAGCTAGTTCAAACATCAATAGTTCTCAGGTCCATACAAGATAACCTTTTATTTTCAAACTGTTACTTCCTCCTTCAGTGTTGTCAAGGTTTTATTTGTGTCAGATCTTGTAATTTCAACATTTCTTGAATTGTAACAAGTTAATTTTAATCAATATCAATACAATCTAATGTTTGGAATTTAGAATACTTATTTATAGATTAATAATTTAAACTTCTTAAATAGATCATGAAAAGTATTATGTGTTAATCCTCCTTATCACATTCCAATTTTAGGTGAATCTGGCTCTGATGTACATCATAGCAGATGCAGGACAGCTTTAAATTATATGATCTGTCAGTACCCCCAGTGATGTACATAGCAGGTTCACAAGCATATAGATAAACCCTCACTATGTCTCTTTTTCCTCCCTCTCAAATTCCAAAGAAATTTGAAGCAGAAAAAATTAAGATGTTAGTTAAGCTGGTGATATAACTATTTTTTTTTATGCTGGAGTTGAAAAAAATTAACCAGATCAAGTCAAATAAACTCATCCTTATGTTTACATCGGAGTCAAAAGCATTCTGAGCATGCACTGCATTTATGGAACTGAATTTAATCCTTACTCTACATGATTTGCTAAACCAGATACACCAGATGTTAACATCAGTGCCAGAAAACACTGCCACAGCAAAGAAAGAGCTCAGCAAAGATAAATTCACAAGTAAATCCCTGCCAACCATCCATCTAGGACTCGTTTATACATGATAGGAATCAGCTATTTTGAATATGTTGCAAATATATAACGAAAGAGAGAGAACACTTACGTCACTTCTAGAAGTGAAACACATGATTTATTTTTACAGTGTAAAATTGCTGCTTTAGAAGTTACAGAGCTACAGTAGAGTCCCAAATTCATCTTCAATGCATGCAAGTAAAAATTTAACATCACAAAAAAAGGTGACATCCAAACGAGTTCTGTACCTGTGAAGTTCTTTTCGATGTATGCCCTAAATGAACCATAGTAACAAATTAAACTTACTACTAACTTTTAATTGTGTATGTGTTCCTCCTCCTGCAGATGTTTACATTCACAAAATTCCTGAGTCAGAAGTATTACCCTCTAGATCTTTGCGTGTTCCTTTGACAATTAATATTACTACTCTGAATAAGAAAATTGCAAGTAACTCATTACTGTTTTAACTTAGGTGCTGAGTCTTTTCCTTGAGTTTTAAACTTAGATACTGGCAAACGTAAGATGGATACTTTGTGTTTTCTTATGTTTTTTTTATGATCCCGGTCATTAGATTAAAGAAGACTTCTAGGTTCTTCACATAATGAAGGCAAAGGAAGAGGCCCTTGACAGTTTTAGTGTTCGTATCTCTTCCCATTAGAATGAAAGACATTTGGCTGCAGCAGTATTTACAAAAGTCAAAAGATTGTTGCCTTTAGCCATCCTGACTAGGACAGGACAAGTCTTGCCCTATCCATTTCTCTCACATAGTTTTTTCTGATGTTTATTTTTTCTGTGGAACCTCAGCTCTGGTTTACCATGCAAGAGTCTATGTGCTATTACATTCTTGGGCATAGTGCATACAAAATATGAATCATTATGCACACGCACATGCAGACATACACGTATATGTATAATTTATATATATATATATTGTTCCTGGTTGAGTCAAGAGAACATAACTTGTTATAGATAATAATAGAATCTTCCTAAACTTAGAGAGAAATAAATATGAGTAATGTTTTGAGGGTTTTTTTCCTTTGGAATCCTGAAATTATATCTTCTCTTCTCTTCTTTCTTTTACAGAGATTTAAAAATATTATTTTACAAAGATTCTGTAGTTCAGGAATATACAAGTCAAAATATGCAAACTCTTAGAACATCTCAATCTCTGCAAGGGAAAAAAGCTAATTAATTGCTTTTGGTATAACCAAAGACCCTCCCACAACAAAATGAACAACTGCAATAAAAAGGCTAAATAAATCAACAATTAAGACATCTTATAGTTACCTGACAGGACTATTTGAGGCATCTGGATCATGGGCTGCTACTGTTCCAATGATAGTGCCGACCTTTGCTGCTTCAGACACCACCATGGAGTACAAACGTGAAGTAAACACAGGCGGCTCATCAACATCTTCTACAATTATCTTCACTGTTGTCATGTCACTGAAGGGTCCCAGACTCAGGAACCGAGGGTCAACGTGCATATTGGCTGCTTCTATCCTCAGGGTATAGCTTGTTTTAGCTTCAAAATCCAGCTCCTATACAGGTAAAGTTATTTGGAAATTTTATTATCTGGTGGTGTTGCCACAAAACTGTTTCACTTACAACTGTCAGTAAGTACAAAATGAACTTTGCTATTTGTATCCAGCCAGCACTTTTCATTGGCAGAGTATAGTTCACGCCTCAGCTTTTAGCTTTCTCAAAACACTATTTGCAGTGTCTTGCTAATGAATATTCCCCCATGGCTTTAATGGTAAAGGCAGTTCTACGCTGTGAATGAAACAAGAATTCTCAGAGTTAATGGCAAAACTTCCTGTAGCTTCTGTGAGGAATAAATTCTACCCCATTGTTTCATCATTGTGAATGAATACTTCTTTTTGTCTTACTCATATTTTATCTAAGGTAATGTCAAATACAGTGTGCCTTACTACCCAGACATAAGAACTCAATAGAATATTCACTGGTGAAAAGAATTAATTCAGAAAATTGTGTTGTGGGGGGTTTTTTGTTTGGTTTTTTTGTTTTGTTTTTTGCATAGCATTGGGATTAGCTAAGCAATTATTACTCCAAGCTCTGTATAAATCTGTGTAAAAAAATGTGGCAATTGGTTATACTACATTGTTTATATCACAACATTTTGTACTGAGATGCAGCCTGGAGATTGATTTGGTTTGTTTTGCTAAACACACAAAAAAAAGTGCATTATTTTTTTTCCACCTTCATTCTGCTTTAATTTTCTTTGGTGAAAGTATAGTTGCTTTTGGAATAGATATGCATTAGAATTAAAAATTACCCCCCACAACTAATGGGGTATCTGTGATCTGGGGGACAGATAACTACATTGGAGGCAAAAGAAACATCTTAACTCACAGGCAATTGTTGAAAGAAATCATCATGTTAATATTAACACCATTTACCCTATATCTATAGTCTTAGTTTGTCAGCTTGTACCAAATGCCCAGCTTACTATTTCCAAGTGTAATAATTAAGAATAGCAACAAAAGAACCAAGAATTTCTAAAACTGCAGTCTGGTTACTCAACTATCTTTTCAAACTATAATTTGAAGTGTACAAATGAGATTAAAAAAGGCTTTCTGCAGTTCTGATTCGGTATACATCATAAGGATCTGAAATGTGCTTACAAAATAATGTGGCAGCATCTGCAAAACATTCCTGTACTCAGAGGAGCAGCAGAGGTGAAACACACATCTGTTGACCTACAAATGCAAGGGTCTGAGTTCTCCATTGAGTTACAGTAGGGTAAATCCCAAATGAGCATCTTAAAGTCAGCGATTATGCTGACGTTACAATACAGCTGTGAACAGTCAGGATTTAAAAATGAAAAAATGTATTGCAGCAGACAATACTCAGAAAAGCACTGAACTTTTATAAACTCTATGTGGCAGAAAAAAGGCTTCTCCGAATGGGAATACATGTGATTCTCATGTTATGCAAGTCCTTACTTCTCGCACTGAATCAGAGCTGTTGTATCCATAGCTCTCTAAATACAGACATGCCATAAAAGAAAGGTTGTCTAGATACTGGTCACTATATTGGATACAACTGGTCACTATTCATTGCCGAAACATGTTTAACTGTTTTTAATTTTAATTTTGGTTTTATATTTAGAGTACAATATGTGTGCTCTGAAAGAAACCTCACAGCCATAATGTAAACGTAATGTGGTGTTAGGATCATGAAAAATGTCTCAGAAACTATATTGTCTGGTGATAACAATTAAGCAAGTGATATGACCAGATGACCAGCAAGGTTAAGGAGAAGACAACCAGGCACACAAATATCTTAAGACTTTTGATTTTCCAGTATAAGCATCATATTAATTAAAGAAATTATAACCTGAAGAATGTCAAAGACAAAAGACTGAGATTTGTTGAACTGAAAAAAAAGTGCAAGCTTTTAGCAAACAGTATATTTTCAGTCAGAATGTACAAAAATATGTACCAGAGAAGAGGAATGCTAATTCATTCTTATTAATCAGTGATATCTGTTGAAGCTGGATGTTTTGGATTACAATGATACTTAATCAAACACATGGAAATATATCATGGGACCAATGATACTTAATCAAACACATGGAAATATATCATGGGACTGCAGGCAAGTTATATACTTGTTATATACTAATGTCAACACCACAGTCATCCTAAGAAAAAAAGATTATGAAAATTCTGATTTAACAGAGAAAGTGCATAAAGCACAGTCTATGAAATTGGACAAATTATATAAATTTTAATTTGAATAGACTAAGCACAATAATGAAGAAATATTATTTAAATTATTTTTAAGACATTCCCATGTTTCTGTATTGATTAAAGAAGACTAAATTAGAACTTGAATAACTGAAATAATAAAAACATGTTCTCCATGTGAATGTTTATCATAAAGGCTGACATGTACTTTTAAATCATCAATTTCATTCTTCTAGTGTAGAAAGAGATCATTCTTTATTTGACTGGATTACAGGAGTGTCAGACTAGTAGGGAAATCACAAAACCCACTTTCATTAGAAAGGTATTTCCTCATAGAGAAGGATGCAAAAGTAATGATGGTGTAAATGCACATTCTAAACAGGCTTGCTTACTAAGAGAAGGTTTTACCTTCTTTAACTTAGCCATGTACATCTGAGAAAATCACAATATGGTGCTTACTGCAAGTGCAGCAACTTTTTTCTAAGGAAGAAATCAGTTGGTCTACTTATGAATGCCTTTTTTTCATCAGTCACTATTAAGGGACTCTCAATAACTGGAAGAAGTAAACATCTGCTTTCAGCAACATGAATCCTGCCCTAGCATTCCCTCACATATCTTCTGGCATCCAATGCTGCTGATATAGTTTCCAAAAGCTATAAGGGTCCTTGTTAATGAAAAACAAATAAGTAAAATTCTAACATATGTACATATACAGTGGGGAACAGTTGCTGTTTAGAAGAGAGAAGTATGGATTGGCAGAGGGTTTTTACAACATCAGATGATATTGTGTTATGCACAGGCAGTAATATTGTTTTATTTTAGCTCTTTGCAGCAGAGTCTGTCTCCTATGGGGTGTGATAATGTCTACAAAAGCTACAGTCATCCTCAGTCTGTTCCTATGGGACATACATCCTCAGATCCTATGGTGAATACACAGGTACCAAGTTTTGAGGCAGAGTATAATCTAGAATAACAAACAAAACCTCAAAGACATTACTATGCTGGAATTAAGGACCTGCTGGAAAAGTTTCAACAATTTGTAGATAATATAATGAAGCCATTGCATACTACAGGCACTAATGAAAGACTGAAAAAGTGAATTGAAAAGATTCCCTTTTTTTCTTTCTTCTTATCTAATTATCACTGATGTCTGTTGTACAGAGCGCATTATTTAACTGGCCTTTGGATCATGTCTTCATTATTTCCTGCTATAACAAAAGCACAAGATTCCAATAATGGAATACCAAGTCAACAAACTACAAATCAGTACATCAGTGTTGAAGGTTAAATGCACAATGTCTACCTCTGTCCTTCAGTACAGTGAATAGAGCTTGACAGCTTCATTAATATCTGTGCATTAGTGTTATCTGATTAGTTACTCTGCAGTATCCATTCATCTTTCTCTCATTTGGGGGTTCATGGGGTCTTTCTTTCTTTTTTTTTTTTTTTTTTTGCCTTATAAGGAGTAAGAAATTTATGCTGTCTAGGAAATTACAAAACATGTCATCTGTATTATGGAGGCTGGATATGAAGTTATTATTCACAGGAAGCCCATTTTTGTAATTTTCATTTTTATTGTATGGTAACTTTGTAAGAATGTAGTTTTCAGAGGTGAAAATCCCATTTTTAAGCCCAGTGAGGTTTTATATTGAAAACTGCAGTACATCAAACAAGTGCACATTATCTCTCAAAGGAACCATGGAAGCCTCAAGTTCTTAAATTGTAAACTCTGATATAGAATTGAAAGAAAATTTTCTAGCTGCAAAAAAGTGTGAAGTGTTAACAGTAATAGAAAGATAGCTTTTCACTCCAAAGCTTAGACATAAACCCCCCATTTTTATAATTGCCGGTACTACTCTTAGAACGAACTCAGGTTTTAGAATGATGTCTTAGCAGTCAATTTCAATGAGAAAATACTTTGCAACACTACTTTCACATTTTTCCTTCTAACATTCAAATTGTTTGGTGATATTGGTGGTAGGGCTGTGTATTGGGGGGAGAAATGAAGGCAAAGTGAGCAAGAACTGTGCCATAGGAAATATTAATGCTTGTCACTTGCTACCGTAAGACATGACAACCTTCTCTCTATAGAGTCTTCAGGCTTTTTTTTTTCCTACTTAAGTCCACTAAAATCTCTTTTGGCTTGAATCAGATCCCATAACCTTTGAAACAGTTACATGTGATACATATAATAAAAATATACCTTGCAGCTTTTTTTTATTTCTCTTCAGTTCTAAGGTTGCTACTGCAGAGACAAATCCCACACATTTTTAAAACTCCAGTATATTCAGAAAAATTGCACTTTTCTTTCAAACACCCTCACCACTGTGAAATGTAGCTATGCAAATGATCTGAGTCCTTACTAACAGAGCATTGGTAGCAGAATCTAAATCACAAATGAAACCACAGGAAGGAATTGATCCTTCTCTACAGATGGAGAACCTGAGTCATAGTATGAACCAGGATAAAATTTTCAAATACATCTAAGAAATATAAATGCCCAATTCCTTTTCAAAAACTGTACAAGACATTATCTTTTTTTCTGAAAAGATGTTTTCTGAAAAGATGAATGGATCTTTTTCCTAAATCCTGCTTAAAAGCAGCTTTGATATCTAATTTAGCTTTACTTAGGAATTCTTTACAGAGAGAGTACCTACAGGGTGGAGAATAGCCAAACTCTTCCATTATTTGCAAAACTGGAACTCTAGCATGAACTTTGAGTAGTTGGTATCTTTAGACTGCTCTGTACAGGATAAAAATAAAGGAAGAACTTTATTCTGTTTCATTTGACAAGTGAAAACTTCGCATTTACTTATTATTTTTATTTAATAAAAGAGAAAGTGGGAAAAGAAAAAAAGGGGAGATTTCCACAGTGACTTGAAACTACTACGCAACAAATTGTGTGAACATAGCAGGTTACAAGAAAAGACCCCCACTATTTTTCCCATCACTTTTCCACCCTTACTGTAAGCTGAGAATACCACTTTGAACTGTGCTAGTGGGTCCCATTCACTTGCTCTTTATACCAGTTTCTGGATAATAGAGTTTGTCTTCTAGCATTTTTCATGTCCTATTGCAGGTTGGAAACAGAGCATGGCATCCTAAAAACAACTTATGCTTTTTTATATACTGTCCTAGATACATGCTGGCTATTTTTTTTTTTTTTCATATGAATTCAGTCAATGAATTCAGTTAATGTATTACAGAAGAAGGTAGGGTTGATTTTTTTGTGCCAATAACCAGGGAAATGGTTCAATACTTTTTTTACTAGCTCCTGTCATAAGATGAAATTCTAGCTTCACTGAACTCACAAAAAATCAATTCTGCCCAGACTTAACCTCTTGTTATTATTTAAGCCATTAAGTCATGAAGAAAATTTAGCCCTTGTCCCAAAGAATATTTTCAAAGAGTTGAAGGGGTTTTTTTTTGTCTAGAACGAACTTAAGCAACTTCCTGGAATACATGAACTTCACATCTCATTCATTTAATCCTGATTCAAACATCTTAACCAGGACAAAAGAAAATAAGGTGTCCCAAGCATGCAAAAGGCCATATAGCAGCAAACATTGTATGGAGTAGAGCATGCATGGTCCTTAGTTGTGCTGCATAAGGTAGTACAATCCTACTCTTTACTCTTTGGAGGGTTAAAGACCAAATGGATGAAAACACAGAGAAAGCATTCCTCTCTTGTCTGATTCCATATGGTCAAGTGAGTTGTTATAAGAGTACCAGTCTATTGACAAAATGTTACATTGAACTGAGCTTTAGTCTAGTCACTAGTATATACTGACATTAGGCACAAGGCAAAACCAGACCCAGCATGTTCAGCAACATGTAATCCCCACTACTGCCATGGCTATAAAAACTATGAGCAAAACTATTATTACTATTTGAAAAATAGCACTGTTCTCAGACTTTTTAGAGAAAAATCCATCCTGAATAAACTAAGTAAGCCAAAGAGGTATCTCAATTTAGCAATGCAGAAAAGATATAAATGAAAGAATACACCATATTTTGATGAATATCACTGTTAGAGTAAAACCATGATTGATTTTTTTCTGCTGACTTTTGATGTTTTGAAGTCTCTGTGTCATAGGATGCAGAGAAGAGATGTATTCAAATGTGCATGGGAAAAAACCCAACAAACCAAACCAAAAATTAAACACACTCAAATCTCATTCACCAATTTTGCCAGCTATCAAGTGAATATGTATATTAGTCAAGTCCATTATACACAAGTAATCTTGGAAAATACCTAGCCATGTAACATTTTTCTCTTTCTGATACCACAATTCTTGCTATCTCTCCATTTCAAAAACACTAATTTTCCTGAATTTATATAAATAAATATTTTATTTCCAATTTTTGCTGATCCTTGTGTATTTTCTTTCATATTTCATCCACTTGGAAGATACACTAAATTCTTAAATCTTACTTCTCTCAAATGTTTTTTTTTTTTTTTTTTTTTTTTTTTTTTTTGATGTTCCTTATATGTTAAAAAAAAATCTTAGCTTTTAGTGAGGAAGTCAACTTTTCAAATCATCTCAAAATGGTTATACTTCCAAAAACAGAATGTAAAATCCTCAGTTTGTGTGTGGAACTCCGATAACCAGGTGCCAAACTTTCGCGACAACACCCAGCACAAAATGGAATGGAGCTGTGTTTTCAGTTGCTCAGAGATACTGGCGGTGATTTTCATGCCTAACCTGCTGATTTGTATGTACGATTGCAGCAAAAGTATGCAAAGCTAAAGCATGCATTTGCATTTAGAATGAAAGCATGCCTTTTCAGAAGTCTTTGCCTTGGAATTTTACTGCTTGATGTGTACACAGACATGTCATCTGAGCATATAAATACACACGAGTTTAAAATGATGGGCATGTGTTTGGAGGCTGAGCTGTTTCTCAATGCCTCAGCTGATTTCAGAGGCATGAAAAGGAGAAAGTTAATTGCACTCAGAGGTGTACAGAACGTCATGTACCGGATAGTGAAATGTTTAGGCAGATTCCAGGCTACAGACTGAGTTTCTTCACTGATTCCTTACTGACAAGCACACATTATCATTCAGGAATAACCTCTGCCCAACCCCATAGTAATCTCACAGGTAAAGCTTGGTGGTTGAAGCCCATTTAACCTGCATACACTGGCATTAATGGTCTTCTATGTACATGTCCTCCAGAGAAGAACAAGGTGCAGTTGCTTGTTAGCCACTGTGTTTGAGCTCTTCACTTAGTTTCTTCCCTCTAGCCGATGTTCTCTGGAGGGTTGGCAGGGAGGATCTTTCAGCCTTGGGCAAGGCACCAAGTTCCCTGAAGTTCAAATGAAGAGCTAAGGGCATCTAGAGGTTTGGGAGGTGCCTCTCACCTTTGAGTATGGCAGAGGAAAGCAAATTGATAATAGTAAGAAAATGAGAGAAAAATTCTAACACTGCAGAGAAAAAAGTCTGAATTCTTGTGGCAAAATATAGCAGCATCTAGGTTTGAAAATGATTAGCAAATTGGAGCATTTCATCAGGTCAGAATTTTGTAACCTTTTTAATGTGGTCCAATAGCTATTTCATAGAGCATTTCTCAGGATAAATGCTCAGTACTGAAAAGTCCAGTTCAGCTCCCTAGCTAAAGTGATTATAGAAATAATAAATTGCAATTATTTGGTCTGCTGTACAATACTGGAATCAGGATATTCCAAGAACAAGCACCATGACTACAAGACCATACTAAAAATTAAAATGAACTCATCAGCTCTCAAATTAGATCGCTGAAGCCTCCGACTGATTCAGTGTTGCTCACTGTGGCACTGATAAATACTCTCCCTCTAGGATACGCATATTTCTTCCAGATCTTTGCTAAAGACCTAAACAAGCAAACTGAAGGAGCCACATTGAATTTGGCTGTTGAACAAAGAGACTAACTTTTCATCACTTGTATTTCAAACATGTTAAGCAGAAATTAGCACAGTTTGCAAGAAGCCTAAAATGGATGGTTTTGCCTTGAAAAAAATGATTCACATTACACATATTAGAGCCCGATCTTTCAAGGGCGCTGAACATCCTCCATTTGCTGTGACATCTATGGATGCTTACCAGCTCTCAGTAGGTGTTCAGAGCATCAGAGAATTAGCCCATTGCTTTGCAACATCATGCAGTACTAGTTTCTTTCAAAAGAAAAATGCTACTGAAGTTTTATGTTGCTTTAGAAAGGAATTGATGTGCTACAGGGGAAAAAAAAACAACAAAAAACAAAACAAAAAAACCAAAACATAACTGGTAAGTGATATTTACAGAGTTTAAAGAGTATACAGGGAAGAAAAATCTGCTATTGAATGATATTAACTACAAATATAGGTCCTTTTTCAGGAAATTACTTACACATATTTTAAAATGCCAAGTCCGTCACACATTTTAGGGTGTGTTAAAGTGCTTAGCAGAGTTAGAGCCATAGATTCAGTATTGTCATAGTATTGTCATTGCCAACCCTTCACACATTAAGAGTATGAAATTATATGAGAAGAGATTGTTCTATCTAAGGTGTTGAGGTTTTTTCCTGTTCTCCTCAAAATTTAAATTTTCTTGCAAAATATTTCAACACACATTTATTTTGTAAAAGTATACTCTTTAAATTGTGTTGCAGCAAAGAATGCTGAGTTTTAGTATTTTATATAAACGTTTTTTTCAATTTTAAAATGCTAGTTTTCTAACTGTACACATAGCTAGCTAAGAAGAAAAAATATCTCTTTAAATATTTCCTTTTTTTGAAATAATATTTTTAATAATACATTATCTTGTAAAACACCTATTCTTACTGATACATAATTTTAACATTAGCAATGTGTGCCTTCTGAATAGAATAACATCAGCCAAAGACAACTGGATTTTACTTTTTTTTTTTTTTTAATTATGGTTGAGATCCGTTTTGTATTTGGAGCTTACATTTTTACTGTAAGATGTATTTTCACATTTTCTCTTTAATACAAGGACAAATCAGAATAAAACTTAGATTCTTATCCAAACTTGTATGCACAGGAACTTTTAAAAAAAAAACCCTCATAAAAGCAATACAGCTATTGCCAAAAACACCCACAAAAATTTCAGTATAAGTCATTAAAAACCTCAAAATCACACATACACACGCACACTGAAGTCAAGGTGAAATATGCTAGTGGACACTTTTACACCAGTTAAGGCTCTCAGAAACAGAAGCTCATACTCTCGTTACCTGCCCTCATCTTGCACAGAACCAAACAGAATCAGCAAGAAAAATCAGACTTACCTTCTGAATTGTTATGATTCCCTCTTGGGTGTCTTTGTCAACAGAAATTTTGAATACTCCCAAACCATCACCATCCACAATCTTATACTCCATTTCAGCATTAGGTCCCACATCTGCGTCTGCAGCTTTTATTCTGGCCACCACAGAAGCCACTGGCAAAGACTCTGGGACATTATACTGATATGATCCTGTGAAATTTAAACATCTAATGAATCTAGAGGTTTCTGGGACTGCAGGCTAAAAAAAAAATCTAGCCTTCTTAAAATCTACCTTCCTTTAAATCATGCACTTGAGTATTTACTCAGACTACTAGAATATATTCAATTTAAAATAGAATTGCCCTTTTTTTTTTTTTTTTTTTTTTTTGCAAGGTTTTCCTTGTGATGGACTCTACTTTAAGTACTATGGGCATAATTTCTTTCTACACCAAGAGAAGTACAAGACAAAGATGCAAAAACATAATTCAAAACTTAAGTGCAAATCATGAGGTAAATTCCTGCTACAGAGTTCCAATGCAGAAAATATTTTACTTTGTTTTCCACAAAAGAAGAATAAAAGCAAGTCAAATAATATCAATATAAACTCTTGTTCTTTTATAGCTGTGTATCTTGATTAGTCAGCTTGTAATCTGAATATGAATAGGAACTGATATATATTCATTTCTTTAACAGTAAGTGCACCATCTGCATTCTTGAAAATTCCAGCTTTTTCATTCAAGTAGAAAATGATATATATATGCTGTCAAAAGGGTATCTGAGTGCAGTGTGTAACCAATAACACCCTCACCTTCAGAAATAGCTTCAGTTATTCTATTATTATTTCAAGCAGTTGGTAGCTTGAAATAACAGGAAATCTATTATGTACAGATCTATTTTTTGTGTCATTGGAGGTGAGGCTGTAGTGGACGTGAATATATTCTTCATATTATTTTGATTCTACTTAGCAAGGACTTTTTTTTTTTTTTTTTTTTTTAAATAGAAAAAACACCCCAGACAGAATGCTATTAATAAATAATACTTTTCAGGTTTGAGTGTACAACTGTGTACCCCTTTCTTTGATTAGGATGAGAACCACTTTAGTCAAAGAAAGTAAATGGAGGGAAGATGACTTTCCAGCTCTTCTGTGACTAAGTCCAGAGGCAACACTGTATGCACAAGAGAAATCCTGCTAAAATGCCAGAGTGGTATGAAGGATTAAGAACCAAGTTAAAGAACTATATGTCCTGAAGTCCAACTGGCAAGAGCTAAATATCTATTAAGGTGTACCATTTTTTGTCTTTTTATTCATAGAGAGGAAGTAAACTGCATTAACAAATGTACTTGCCATACGTAATTTCAACAGGTCTGAAAAATATTAGGTAAAGAAAAAAGATTCTTCCAATGTAATAGTAGTAGTAGTAATAATAATAATAATAAAAATACTTTGCTGTCAGTGATTCTCAAAGTACTTAACATGGAAGCTGAGCACTTTTACTTATTGTTTAGAAAAAGCATGACATGTAAAGAAAATAGCAATGTTTAGAAATAGTTTTACAAGTCATATTTTTACAGAGTAACTTACGTCGTGGAAAGCGGGGGGGGTTGTCATTAACATCAGTCAGGGTGACAGTTACAGATGTAGTCCCTGATAATCCACCATTTTGCCCAACCATGTCTTTTGCTTGAATAACGAGTAGGTATTGGTCCTTGGCTTCTCTATCCATATTCGGAAGGGCAGTTTTGATAACACCTGCAGTAAGACAAGATATGTCAATAGTTGCACAAGCAAATACATTACCGTGAAAGCTAAACTTGTCTTTAAAAGGTAGTAGCAGATCAATGATTGCAACAAGAGAGGAAAGAATTAATTTCAACAGCAGTATCACAGTTTTTCACTAGGATCTGAACAGACATACTATAACCTGATTTTAAGTAGTCACAAAAACCCACCAATTTTTATTTAGTACAGGATTCTTTGGGTAATGCTATCCATAACTGTTTTTTTCCAAATATATCTTTCCTGAACTGCAGACCTCCTAATGTCTTGGGTAACACTCCCTTCCCTGGAAGATATTTTCTGTATTTGATTTCCCACTCTTTTAGAGATAGGAAGAACAGTATATTCTACATTCATTTTTGAGGTTCCAAGGTCAAGATTCATTTCACAATATCTTGAATAGTCATTCGCTAATTTTGATATCAATCCAATCTCTGCATATATATGAAATTATCTTATTTTACCGTATATTTGCCTTAAGAGTACCCACTTCTAAAGCATTAGTGTAATTAAGAGATTTTTGATTTATTAATGGAAATAGTGTAATATCGGAAGTAGTTTTTGTTATATCCATTGGATTATCTGCATACAATTTATAATTACTTTATTTGAAATGAAATCCAGAAGAAAGCTCCAAGTTTCATCCTTTCAGTGCTGTTGATATAGATCAGAAAATAAATATGCCTTCCTAAAATGTGATGACTTTATGAATATTTCATGCTCAGTACACAGTACAGCCGCTAACTCTGATTTCCAGAGACACAGCCGTTTACTCCACCAGCACTTAGTGTCAGCAGCAAAGGAAACATAAACAAACTAAATAAAGGAGAAGCACATTGGGACACATATCTCTTCATCTGATATTTGTTGAATGTTTAGTTAGACTTTTATTTCTTTCTTCCCTTATGAATGCAGGACTTGTCATTAATCATCTCTGGGCTGAAACATTTATTTCACAAACAGACTGTCTGGCACTATTTCACTCATTTTACAAGACATGTTAAAATAAAATTAACATACAATTTCATAAGGTTATTGTTTCTACATTGTTTTTTTCTTGCCCGCTTGTTTTTCTATCATAGTTAAATTGCCAGGCAATGTTAACCAATCATTTGGAAGATAATTATCATGCACACAGAAAATTTGAGTATCACATCAAACTGAAAATGTATGCAAACATTTCAGTCTGAATCTTTAAAGATTTTTATTTAGCAGAAACTACAATATTATTGCTTAAGGGTTATCTGCAGTCATTATCACAATATACATTGTGCATACAAATACATGGAGAGACAGAGACAGAGACAAACCACTATAAATCACACTCATTGTGGGGAAAAAGAAAGTGCTATATATATCCCTGCTGAAGATGGACCTGTTGCAATATGAAGATAATTACCGTACTGATTTTAGTACTTACAAGTATTTATATAGAACTTATTATAGTACATGGACAGTGGGATTGAATGCACCCTCAGCAGGTTTGCCAAGTACACCAAGCTGCGTGGAGCAGTCGACATGCTGGAGGGAAGAGATACCATCCAGAGGGACCTGGAAAGGCTTGAGAGGTGAGCCCGTGCAAACCTCATAAAGTTCAATGAGGCCAAATGCAAGGTCCTGTACGTGGTCCAGGGTAATCCCATGCACAAATACAGGCTGGGTAGAGAATGGATCAAGAGCAGCCCTGAGGAGAAGGACTTAGGGGTCTTTGTTGATGAGAACCTCACATGAGCCAGCATGTGCGCTTGCAACCCAGAAAGCCAACCACATCCTGGGCTGCATTAAGAGAAGCATGGCCAGCAGGTCAAGGGAGATGATTCTGCCCCTCTACTCCACTCTCATGAGACCCCACCTGGAATATTGCGTCCAGCTTTGGTGTCCTCAGCACAACAAGGACATGGAGCTGTTGGAGGAGATCCAGAGGAGGGCCACAAAGATTATCAGCGGGATGGAGTACCTCTCCTATGAAGACGGGCTGAGAGAGTTGGGGTTGTTCAGCCTGAAGAAGAGAAGGCTCTGGGGAGACCTTATAGCAGCCTTCCAGTATCTGAAGGGGGCCTACAAGAAAGCTGGAGAGGGACTTATTACAAGGGCATGTAGTGATAGGATGAGGGGGAATGGCTTCAAACTGGAAGACGGTAGATTCAGATTAGATATTCGGAAGAAATTTTTTACAATGAGGGTGGTGAGGCACTGGAACAGGTTGCCCAGGGAAGTTGCAGAGGCCCTATCCCTGGAAGTGTTCAAGGACACGTTGGATGGTGCTTTGAGCAATCTGGTCTAGTGGGAGGTGTCCCTACCCACAGCAGGGGGGTAGAACTAGATGATCTTCAAGGTCCCTTCCAACCCAAATCATTCTATGATTCTATGATTATTTCTCCAAATTTAGATGTTGTTAAATAGAGTATGACATTTTGGTCATAGCATTGAGATTCAGGTCTGATTCACATCACAGATTGATTACGATAAACAGAGAAAATAGGGTTTTTTTTTCCTCTTTTGTCTCAACTTGTCCATGTCTGAAATGAAGATTTTAACTCTGCTCCATGTTGGTGTAAGTCAAGGCTCAGGCGCGAAACTGAACTGAGCCAAGCGAGAACTTATTTTCCTGCCCTATGAAATGATGCAGTAGAATGTGTAATATTTATTAAACTGACAGACGATTAAAGGTTGCATCTTGTTGTGGCTTAAAATATTCACAAAATTTAATGAAATCCATAAAAGTTCCACTAGCAATTTTTTTTTTGAAAGTGGCAGCAAAATTTTATATCAGATAAGGATAAGAAGCACAGTGCTTTCTTCTTCAAACTAATAAAGAAAAGATATATTTCCCACAACAAAACTTTAGCTTAAAAAGTAGAATGGACTGGTAATCGTGCTATAAATATATAGCTGAGGAAGTCTGGCTATGTGACATTTAGATATTTCTAAAACAAACATCTGCAAAAAAACTTGTTCACAGCATCTTGAAATTTTCATTGATCAGAAAGACAGCACCAGTCAGCAAACCAGAGAGCTGGTAGATTGACAAGATAAAAATTCCCGTTCCAGCAACGTCTGCTTATCACATAGCTCTGGTCTGTGGTTTTCATAATCTATTCTGAAAAATGAGAGATTAAAAGATGAACAAAATCTAAAAGTATTCAATTAATCAATAGACCACATTAATAAGTTTCTAGCAAGTTTTAATACACATTTTCTTTTATTTATTTTTTTTTTTTCCCTCAGCATTACTGCAAAGAGTTTATGGAAAATTACCTGTTTTTGGCTCCACAGAAAAGTAAGGTTGTCCTTGCAATATGCTGTAAACCACTCGAGCACTGTTGCCGTAAGTAGGATCATCTGCATCAGTGGCTGTCACTTGAACCACAGAGGTACCTGCAAAATGTTTAAGGGAGTTTTGTTCATAAAAGAACCAAAAATCTGAACTACACTTGTTCAACATGCTGTGCCAATATATATCTGGAACAGTGTGAGGTGGCTTTTTCACAACAGTTCATCATCATGCTGATTCAGCTTAGACGAGAAGGTCCTCTTTGTAAACCATAATATCAGCTATTACAGAATTGCATCTTCCCAAATAGTCTCAGCCTTTGACTCACAGCAATAAACACCACCTCACTCAGTAGATCACCCTCTCCATCTCTGCCTTTGATTGGTGGAAGATATGTGAACAATACTCCTTAAATTATGGTGATGCCTGAAGTACGCTTAAGTAAGAAATATAGTAATAGTTTCCCTTTGAAGAGAAGTCTGCATGCTAAAACTGTAATGAGTAGTTTGAGATTCAAACATACATGCATATATAAGTATTATATATTTTGATAATTGTGTACACGTTATATAAAATTACTTTTATCCTATAAAATTATTTACCCTTTTATAAAGAGATGGCTGAAAAGTTTCTGTTTCAACTCAGAGAAAAACTGGTGAAAGCTGTCTCTAAATTTGTTTTAAAAGTACTGATTTCCTTCAATAATCTGCAATATTTTGGTATCAGTTGTAGCAATAATCTGCTGCATAAACATTTCTTAAGCAAGAAATGTCTCTAGTTTGACAGGAATAAGAAAGTGAAATGTCTAACTGCTTAGAAAGAAGGATACATTTTGTGAGGATATCACGCTACATCCAGCTTCTATTCATTATGTTCTCCATGTCAGTTCCTGTTTGTTTTGTTGTGTACAACAGCTTCCATGATGTATGCTGAGGGCAGAGTAAAACAACACTTGGGAGCCAGGGCCTTGGCCATGGTCACCACCCTTTGATAGCCAGAAAGGATTTTTTTTCTCACTGGCAGATTGTCTGGAACATGGAGACCTTCCATTCAACAGCCCAGGGACCCATTTGGAGGTTAGGTTGCAAATTAATATTGTAGCAATTTGGCAGACGCCCAGTCTTCAACAGAGGATCAGATTCCTTCATAAATTGGATTTAGACACAAGATTAGAGAAAAACATTTGCTAAAAAGTGTTCATTTTCTGAATGAACACTTTTTTTGACATACGAAAGTGAGAGCAGCAAGCCTAGAAATCGCTATTTAAAAACAAACTTCAATGGCAAGTGTTCAGGGTGAATTCAAACATAAATTGTATTCTAGTCAGTTTTATTTGGATTTTTTCAGGAAATAGGTGGGAGAAAAATCTGAAATTCTTCATGTCTGATATAGTACATCCCCCATCCATTTTCCACAGCTTTTTAATTCTCAGTTCAGTGGAGGATTATAAATGGGTCCTGGGACCAGGCTGAAGGTTTGGAGAGAGAGAGAGGACTGAGTGCAGCCCTCTATAAAATGGTACAGATTACAAAGGATGGGACCTGCTTGAATGAATTCTGACCAGAAATGATTGTTCATAAGATAACTTTATTCACTTAGTTATGGCCTAGCTAACTCACTTTCCTGATCTCTTTTCTGAAGTATCCATGACAAAGTATTATGATTGCAATTCTATTTTAAATGCAATTGTTCTCTCTTGTGAACTGTCTTATATTTTTGGACAGAGAAAAAGTTATTCTCAACCTGAAATTTTACATGCAACTATTAAGTAGATAGAAATTTTAAAAAGAAATTTGGTAGTTAATCCATCAAGTCATTTATCAGTTATAGGACTTAAAATACATCCATTTTCTGTTCACCAGTAACTAAGAGCTTTGATTCAGTATGTCAAACTGATTTTACAGATTACTCTATAATGTAATTTCATACAGGGACCTATTTTAAACTTGCCAGAGTCTCTCCAGCTTTTGAGTACAAGGGTATCATAATGACTATGTGACATCCTGTGTTCTTTGTGAAAGCCAGGCTTACCACATTTACAAAGTCCCTAAGCCCTGCCAATGAAGCTTACAACATCTGCAAATATTGGCAAAAGTGCTTATAAACCTGACACACAGTTACGTCTTTGCTCCTTGCTCTTGTTGCTTTCAAGGACTCCAGACCAATACCAGATCAAAAACATTACAGGCTCTGCAACCTCAACACAGACATTTTGGAAATCCTGCAAGCTTAGAAGTGCTTGTTTGCTGTAAAAATCTATTGATGTAGCAAACAAACCCTCTACATTCTGTGAGATGAATAAAGTCAGTATCCAAATCTAATTGGCTTTCTCCTAAAACACACAGATCCTTTAGAAAGGTTTTATTTTAGGTGGAAACTCTAATAACAGTTCTTTATGCACTCATCCCACTGAAGTGTAATCAACAACTAAGAAACAATGACGCTCTCCTAGTCCCTTTGTGATAATCAACTCTCAAACTTCATGGGGGAAAGATCTTTTAAAACAACTGCTATTGTCATTATTTCTTTACCAGTTGCACACAAAAACTTTGAGCTTCTAGGAGACCCATGCTGAGAGGGAGATTTCTACACAACATATTTTTTCTAAAGAACACACAAGCTAACACAAGGCATGCTAACTATGTGAAAAGTCCTATGTGTAGGAAATCAGTATCAAGGAAACAAAATGTATGGAAAGATCAGTATGTGAAGATTTCCAGAGATTTTCACAGATGAAGCAAATTTCTTGAAGAATAGGAATTCCTTCCGAGGACGATCATTGCAACACAGAGCTGTCCTAATTTTTCTTGCAATAGATTGATGTCAAATTCATAAGCTTATTTTCCTTTTAAAAAAATGTACCCAATAAAGCTCTATGGATACTCACAGATAGTCAATAAATGTATAGGTTTAGGAAAAATGGGTAGTTGCATCATAGTTCCAACTACATAATCTTACAAAAGGAGAGTTTGTGTTCCTGCACTGAAATTGTCTTCCTTTTGTTCCCAAACACTTTGCCCTACCTCTTAACACAGGTGGTCAGCTGTCATACATGTGTCCAAGATTAGGACTACAGGTAGCATGGGACAGTCAACAAACAGCACAACACCTTTACTCCATCCAACAAAATGACTGTCCCAGTAAATCTTGTTTATGGCAGCATTGTTCAGAGCCCTAGACTGCAGGTGTAAACAGTACACTAACTCTACCTCAGACTTTCATTAATGTCTTGTTATAACTTCACAACTACAACTTTAAATATTTCTTACAGTTTATCTATCTGATATAGATTGAAAAAATAAATAGGGGCTACTTACTGAAAAACTGTCTTTCACTGTCAGATATGGATTCTTCCACAATTGTTTTTCTCTACAATTATGTCTTTGTAACAAAGTTTGAATATCATTTCATTAAAAAGAATTCTACATGTAGCAACTTCATAAGCTTCTTCAGCAATTGCACCAAACACTGAGGGAAAGTCTGTGCTGCTAATCAAAGGGCATCCCACATATTTCTTTATTGATATTAGCTAATAACACATTGAATTTTGTGTGGCTGGCACAGATTTCTGGGGTTTTTTTTAGAATCATTTTTAACCTAACCTTTAAGTAGTAATCTGAGAAGTTGACCTATTTAAATTCTGATATTAGAGCAAAAGGAAGGGAGGAGTTTTTGCAGAGAGGACCTTAAATTTAGAATGTTATTTGTACTTTAATTTACCCAAGTGAAGATTCAGCAATGTTTCCAACATGCTTCAAAGGTCAGCCTTTTCTGTGATAGGTTCAGATAAAGGTAAACTGGTTGCTGAAGTTTATTTTGAGCTGGAGATCCTTCAAATGAATTCTTTTACATCTCTGAGTTTACTGCTTTAGCAACCTCTGCACAGAGCTTTTAAAAAGCTTTCTAGCAACTTGTGTGGTGTTTTACCACAGTTTTTAAGTGAGTTTGTACGAGAGATGCTTGTGTGACTTCCGTTTTTAACATTGGTGAAACAATTTAAGGGAAAATTGGTTCCTAAAACTAGATGAACTTAAATTATTTTTTTTTTAAAACTGTGCAGACCCTTATCAATTGAATTGTAGCCACATTAAACATTGACTGGTATCAACTAATGATGTGTAGTATATGTAATACACGTATCAATTCCATGACTGCATCACATTTCTACGTGATATCAGCTGCTACTAAAAATGTTAAACAACTTTACTATCAAGTTAAGCATAATACCTACTTAATCCTTACATGCAACAGCCTGGCCTGGTTCTGCTCCGTACCATCTGGTATTTCTGTGCTTCTGCCACTGGCCTTCACCCAGAGCTGATGTAGCAATGCCTCCACAGCCTTTCCCCTCCAGGAGTGTAAAGGGAGAGAGACAGCACCTGGAGGCAGGTTCTACCCTCTTCACCTCCTCCCTTTCCTCCCACAGCCTCGATAGGTTGCCTTCACTTGGGGGCAAAACCCAAGAGTGGTCCCAGCCCAGCAGCAAGGTCAGATAAAGTGAATAAGAGGGGGTTTGTGACTGAAGAGAGGCACTCTCCCTTCTCTCAAAACCCACTTGTACCAAAAATTTAAGCATGATTCAGGCTCTCAAAACCCACTACCCACTTGTACCAAAAATTTAAGCATGATATAAAGCTTTTTTTGTGTTTTGTTTTGTTTTGTTTTGTTTTTTCCTTTGGCATAGAACTCAAATGTTTCTATCCATCTCAATCAGAAATAATAAATGTGGCAAGAACGAGATTTCTAACAAGCAAAGCTGTTGATATGTCTGGAGAGTAGAGAAAAATAAATAAAACTAAAATTCTATTGGTATTGTGATTTTTGTCCCCGGTTCCCTTGGCAATAAGACAAACAGATCTGTATCTCACATCAGCTATATTTTTGGTCAACGTCACAGGAACACTCTTTTAATACTCTCTTAACTATAATTTGCAATTGTTTTGTTTGACATTAACACTGCTAGTTGGTTTTTTTTTTTGTTGTTTTAAGTAAGAGACATACTTTAAAAAGAAAAAAAGCCCTATCAGGGCTTCAGATAAGCCATATATTTGAGGTTTTTGCTATGAATAGTTTTACAAGCCATCAAGATATTTACCCTATCCAGGATAATCAATATAATTGGGCCTGACCCAAATATAATTTGAACCTGACCTGAAGTCATTTCAAATTACAGAAAAGATTGACTTCAATTAGCCTTAGATAATGTCCTAAAATATTTGCCAAATAAAATACACAATCATTATACTTGCATAACCACCCTTTAGGTTAAAGGTTATAGTTCTCCTAGCTTTATGGTTAATTTGGGTTTATAATCTTGTGATCTCTTTCATTTTGTGTAATATCCAATTAAGAATCCTTGTCGTGGATACAATTTTAAACAAAATAGGAGAGAGATACTTTGTTTCTCCTTAATATTTCATGAATGCTCTACGTGATTAATTAAAGGTTGTGTTATATGAATTAACTGTGAATCGATGTGACTACGTAAGACAAGTGCCACACAGGCATTTCATGGTAATCCTTAATTCAGCATTCAGTAGTTGTGTGATACATACCATGAAGATATTTAAAATGTACAGTTTCAGGAAGCTCACGAAGTTGAAACTGCCCTTGGTCAACACAAACCCCAGAGCGCACAAGTCTCAGTTAACAATTTTGCACAATATTGCACCTAAGCTGAATATGTATTTGGTGTTGCAGTCCATATGGAGATAATTTCTTTCAGTCATTTACGTGGTAAAGATTCAAAAAAATATGCAAAAGCAACTCATTTTGAAAAAATAGTCCTTATGTTCCCCACTGCACACTGTGCACTCCCCACTGATTAATTCCCAATATGTTTTTGGAACAAATGGAGCATGGGTCAGGGGTAGAAGCATGGATTTGTGTGTGTAGGTAAGCATCATATACGTATAGTAACTGTCCATATGTCAATATGCCAGCACAGGACAAGCAGAGGTAACTCATGTAAAAGGCAAATGTGGAGATATTGCTCTTCAGGACACAAGACAAAGGTGCAAAAATCTAATCATTGCTGCATGCTCCAGCTCACTTAAATAATCCAATTCTAAAATAAAACACCAATTTTAAAAAGACATATTTTTTTACAGAACATATTTTTGAAGTGCTGAATATTTAGGTTTTACAGTCTTAGATTATCTCTGTTTTTCCAAAGTGCAGCAATAAAAAGTTCTCATCAATGTATCACAACTCATTTCCTCCCTGATGCTCCTCAAAAGCTGTGGTGCTTCTTGCTTTCCAAGGCTACTATTGCCTCTTCAGCCATCCACATAGTGTTTGAGTGACAGTGAACAAGTGCCAAGTATCAAATGAGAAAGAATGTCTATGCTCACTGCTTAGTAAAATAAATAAATAGAAAACTCATTAGCAATGTTTTACTTATCTCTTTTTGGCTCCTAAGCTGAGTTTCAAATATAACAGCAATGTTGACTAATGATAACTGCAGGGCCCTTATGCAGGAAAGATCATTTTATTTTCTCTCTAACTCCAATTTAGAGACATTGTTTGAAGTCCAAAACCACAGGAGAAACTATAGCAAATCCTATATGGGCAGTCTTACTGTAAGTGTATCAAATTTTTATATGGTTTAAAATCAATCAAGCAAAGAAAATCCTAACTTCGATCACCATATAACTGTCTTAACCTGAAGTGAGACTTCCCATATACGTGCTTCCACTGAAGTAGATTAAGTTCTTCTGCATTTTTTTTAGCTTCATGCTTGCATTTATAATTTCAGGTTAAAGCAAAATTTACCAAAATATCTCCGAGACAAACTCCTCTCTGGTCTGAATCAGTCAGCTTTCAAAGGAACAGTGGCAGCTGACAACAGATGAGCATTTGGTCTCTTTAAAATTAAGAGGTAATGGATTTGATGTTGAAATTCTTCCCTAATCCAAACTCAGGAAAAAATAGCATTTCTGCTTTCCCAACAGAGGATCTGAAGCCTCTAGAAGGCATTCTCCTCTGATTCCACGGGAATTTTGAAATTATCTCAAGTTGCACCTCAGTCCCTGCTGCTTGCATATACTTCCCAGAGAGCTGGATTTTAGCATTAGAAAAGACACACTGTAAACTGTTACTGATATATGCAACACTTGCCAAAAAAAAAAAAAAAAGCTCTGCACTAGCAGGAATTTGAATAGTTTTTTAAGAAAGGACTTTATCTGAACAAAATGATATATTATCACCTCTGAGTACCATAGCATAGGTGTGAAACTTATTATTGTTAATGAGAATTATAAAACAAAGCCTCTGGGCACTGGAATGAGGAATACACCATAAAATGCTTATCTGAATCCCTACATACCTATTTGAGTTTCACAACATTTTTGAAAGGGTAAATACTTAATCTAGCATGTTATTTCCAGTTAAGCCTTGAAATATCTAACTGTTGCAGGTGCCTCATAGATAATTAAGTAGCTTAGCGCGATACAGTAAAAAATAATGAAATTTTTAAAAAGGCAATAGGAACAAATTTCCCACAACACCAACAGTGTATTTTGCACTTACCCACAGGAGACATCTCAGGAACTCCAGCAGTGTAAGGACCATCCAGAAATTTTGGCTCATTGTCATTGATGTCCTGAATCTTAATGACGAACTCAGATTCTGGTTCCACGGGTTTATTAGTCAGCCTATCTAGTGCTTGTGCTCGGAGCGTGTAGTAGGCCTGCTCTTCTCGATCCAGCCTCTTTGTAGCATGAATATCCCCCGTGTTCTCATCAATAATGAAAATGGAACTTGCCCCTTCGCCTGACAAGATGTATTTGATGGAACCATCTCCTTTATCAACATCAGAGTGAAGCTGGTGAAAAATTGATGAGAGATGAGATTAACTTACAAGAGAGTCAGTGGCATGGAGATATGTAAAAATAATTCTTATGTCGAGCAGTAGTACATGAAATTTTATTGTTCTTGGAAAGATAAGCTGAATGTTTATCATGCACGGGATGAGAAGGACCATTAGAATCTGTCAGCTTGCTCTTTTGAGCAAGATAATTTCATTCTTTCCTGCAAACAATCTCATTTTCAAATGTATTTGATGTTGTCTTACGGTCTTCTCATACCTTAGTTTTACATAGCCACACACATACACACATGCACACATATGATTATAACCATGACTTTATCCCTACTTGAATTAAACTACAGTGTTGGTTTCAGCTTATTATCCTATTGAAGGCTGAGACTTCAAACAAATATCACTATAAACTTGATGTCAGTATGTGTTTGTTCCTGTGTGTGTATGGGAAACAACATACCGATTTTCTTAGTGTTTACTGTGTAGACCAGTAAAACATATTAAATGAATTATAATGGACTGGTTGACATATTGCTCACTGCTAACTGATGGGCCGGTAACTTCACTTCCATATCTTGTTTTCCATTATCTAACTTTGGAAAAATGCAGAGCTTGAGAAAGCCCAAGAAGTGTCCTGGCACTGCCTGAACCACACAGTATTGAAAGTCAGGTGTAGTTTCGCTGGGACTACTTGTAGCAGGCACAGAAGAAATGTAGCCTGGTAGGTCCAAATGTATCTTCTGTTCAAATTGAAAGACAGATTTACAGAAAGAAACTTTCTTCCTCATTACACAAGTTATTTTAAGTTACAGGGCAAGATTCCACAGGTTTTGTAGCTCTTTTATGTCTACTGAGTCCTACCTTCCTGTTACAGAACACAGACTCAAACAATTGTCGTATACTTTTCAAACTTATATCAGGAATGTAATTGATCTGGATGTCACGTTAAAGTAATACACACACATGATATATTTAATATGGTACAATGGAAAAGAACATAAGTAAAATTCAAAGTACTTTCTTGCTTGTTAAAAAGTGGATTATTACTTGTAAATAGTAGAGGACAATGTTAAAGATGTTCAAATTCTTATTGTCTCTTATCTACTTTGTACCTTTCCTAACTTTATGTCATGTTGCGTTTGGAGGTAACTCTACTGTCATCATCATCATAATTTCCTCCACTAATTTTTTTTTTGTCTCAGCTGGGAGTATCATTGAGATAGTAATCAATTCCAGAATACATGCAGAAAATTGCTATCTCAGGCATAACTTAGCACAGCTGCAAAACCTTTTCTTATTTCAGCAGGGAAGTATTTGTGATCAGTTTTGAATTTTTCAGCTGGGTAAAAAACTGCCTATTTCTTACACATTATTTCACTTACACTGTCTGGCTATCTTATACTTTGCAATTACAGTGTACTCTCTCTTTTAAGACAGAAATGGAGTTTGAGCATTGGACTGGATCAAAAAATAAAACTATGGTGTCTAAATCGGATTAGCTACATTATTTCAAAATATGGCTTATCCTCATCCTGCTGCTACCTAACTCCTGAGATACCTAAACAAGCCTGAGATTTCTCTGGTAGAGTTCCCTGAACATTTAAAGTCCTACTTCTCAGCACACTCAGGAATAGTCAATGCTGACACTGTGAGCAGATCAAGGTAAAATGTATCTCACATCCAGGCTCTTTCAAGATCTGCAGCACTGCGTATTCCTCAGCCCTAATGGCTGGGGGTTTATTCAATAAACCATACCTCTGTACATCTCATAAATCTGGCAGTTGGGGCTCTTGCTGCTTTTTCAAACTTGAAGAAGTACCCATCTTCCCAACAAATGTGCAGCAGCCTGTGCAAGTAAGAATATGTCTGGCTTGTGTTTGATTTTGTTTTACTTCTTTTTTTTTTCCTTTTTTCTTTTTCTAGGATCTACTTCAGGGTGCATAAGTCTCCTGTGTACTACAGAGGCATTGTGTGAGTTCCCCTACATAGCTGAAATCCTACAGTCTAGTCTGAAATGTTGAGCATCGCGTTACCCAAGAACTGAAGTTATGCAATACAGAGATTCAATGTCTTTGCCTTTTTGAAGTGATTCAGTTTTCTCCATATCCCATATTCTGGCAGAGCACTGGTCTTTCTGTGGTGGCTGAGACTCTCCCATTCTCCCTGTAAATTTAATCTACCTTTTGTGGCACACTTAAGAGTGTGCTGAATGAGAGAAAAGCAGGTGGCACCAGAATACCCAGCAGTTTATCAAGTATAGCAGTTTTCTGAGGGTTAGAGAAGCGCAAGTAGATCTCTTCAGGCAGAGGAGGGAAGGGGTTCCATGTCTCACCTTGCTGAGAGCAACACAGTGCTCTCTCATGGGGGAGAAGCCAAGCCCATCAACACATGAGAGTGTTTAACACTCACACCTAGGTCTCACGCTGCAGGGCGGCCCAGCCTTCCTTTCACCTTGTTTTTAGATCCAGCCCTGTCCTGAATAACTTTCTAGTAGTGTTTTGAAAGAAAAGAGGCCTTCAGGGGACAGGCCAGAAGTGTAAATCCTCAAAGATGCACTGAGTAAGGTTTTCCCATCCCAGAGAATGACGAAATTCTGTGGCTTCAGCATTTCTCTTTTGCTCACTCAGTGGCTCACTGATTAACACGTTGTTTTTTAAGGAGTCCCACTCTGAGGTCCATAAATTTCCTCATGGATCACACTATAGTGGCTGGTGCCCTGGGGTGAAATGCTGAACAGAAGCCACTTTTTGGAATGATGCCTTGGTAGAAAACTGCTACCGCATGGATTAGAAAAGTGATTAGCAATGACCTTTGTTATCCCGAGGTTGAGGCTCTGGGAGAGCAAACTTCTTTGCATCTTTTATTAAAACTTTGTTCTACTAAGCCTTTTAAAAAGAATGCTGGCCCACGTTCAAGTTAATAAAGTACCGTTCTCTACCAATTTAACCCCAGGAAGGTGATATAGCTCAAGATTTAGCTTATCTTTGGCACTATAGTACAATCAATTCTGTGTAAAGCACTCTAAAGATTTTTTTTCAACATTTTTATGTGTATTTTAGTGTCAATCTGAGATAACTTAAAAGTACAATACAAGAGAACAATGCAAAAATAAACTAGGCTGACAAAATTGAGTTTTACATTTGGTGCAGTTTTCAAATCACCTTAATTCCTGTTTGACCCAATATAATCCTTCCAACAGTGATCTTCAAAGTCATTAATGTAGAGGCATCAGTGATTTACAACTAAGAACAAAAATTTTGAATGCAGCAATCCTGTACCATTTTTACAGCTCTGCTACTACCAAGTGTGACTTCAAACTACCTGTACTTCCAGCTATTTAGTTTAACATCCTAGGACGTGAGAAGTAATATTTTCCTTATAATGTTGGCTTTAGAAAACACTTTGCATGGGATTTTTTTGTTGTTGTGTGTTGGGGTTTTTTTGTTTGGTTTGGTTTTCCCCACTTTTTTTTTTTTTTTTAAGAGAAGAATTACATTTAAGAAAGAGACCTGAGATTTATATTTGTTCTTGTGATTAATTTGAAAAAAAATATATAGAATGATATTAGTACTCAGTACCGTTGTACTTCACAGGACGACGGCTCCAGAAAGCACCTATAGCAGTGCCATCTACTACCTTGTCTATCACTCCTCCCACTTTCTATAGAGACATTCATGTACAAGACAGAACTGCGGCTCAGTCTGTAGCTGCACACGGGGACTATGACTTTAGAAGCAGAGACAATCAAGACCAAGGCAGTTTCAAATTCTTGTTTCAAGAGACATGAAAGATTCAAGGATTCGCTGAATAAATCTCATCTGATCCCATTCTGGAACATCCCAGACAAATTTTCTTTCAGAAGTAGTTTGCAATAAATATTGTAAATAAAATTCCTCCCTCTGTTTTCTGAAAGAGGAATGCTATAGGTAAAGATGGTTGCATATTTCCAAGTCATTTCATCCATAGCCACTTCCACGCAACATCCATGATGGTCACTCTCCAGTTTGCCTTGGCTGTCAAGCAACCTTATTTCCAGTATAAGTATATGCTGATCCTATTGCTTCTTTCTTACATTCCAAATAAATTTACCCTGAAGATTTTAAGAGGTTGGTGTTGTGTGTTCCCTACATTAGACCATGTACAAGAAAAAGTACATGAGAAGAGACAAGGGAAATGGCAAGCTTCTGCAGAGGGATGATGCATTTTTAACAGGAGGGTAACTTTTGATGTTCTAGGAAATTTAGCAGAGAGTGAACAAATCACAGAATCACAAAATTTTCAGAGTTGGAAGGGACCTCTAGAGATCATCTAGTCCAACTCCCCTGCTAAAGCAGGAATCTCATAAGAAAAGTCACACAAGCTTTGTGGAGGCAGGGAGGGCCAGTGTGTATAAGCGCACTTTTTTTTTTTTTAGAAGATAATTTACTGAATGCCCTCTACTGTCTCTGAACTCAACTTAAAAAGAGGAAACTTATATCTTCTTAGGTTCAACTCCTAAACCTTCCCTTAGTTTTAGAAAATGCTTGTTTGGATATGTGTGAGAGAAGGAAGCAGTCAGCTTCACTCAGTAGCAAAGGCACAATTATCCTACCTCCTTTAATGAATGCAATTTTGTCCTCACTTACATTTTTTGGCCCTACAGCAACATAGCTTAGTATAGGGTCTCGCGTAATGTATTTATGCTTACATGGACCCTTAGGATGATGATTTTTCTAGGGAAACCTAAATTATACATTTTCTTCAAGATCTCTAAGACTCAAGAGTTTCTGGATTTTGCCTATTTCTAGATACAGATCTGTACAACTAATGATGACGTCATTTTGCATCACTTGCCATTAAAGTATACTAATGCAGTGGTTTTGATAGAGAAAATTTTTATTTTTATCAGTAAGCAGAGATACTGCAGTGCATTAAAAGTAATTTATCTGGCCACCACTGATCTGTTTGAGGTCTGAATGAGAGGTTTGCCATTTCTCTGATTTTCAGTTCAGGCTCCCTTAAAG